TATGCTATACATTGTCTTCATCATTGTATTCAATGCATACATTGTATACGTGTTGTATACATCGAGACGTAGACTATTACTGTATACGTGTAAACGCCCATCACTGCGTTAGCAGTATAATGCGTAAGGATCTGTTGGATCTCCTAGAAACTACTCTTATCGATAGACCGGCTTCACGCAACCCGACAATTCGACCCCTCTCAAAGTCACTTAGCTGGGTCACCCGGCGAATTCTACACATCCTAGGCATTTTGAGCAATCACAAAAAGGCTTCTCAATAAGCTACACGAAATTTAAAATTTAACTGACACCGTAAATGTACGAAAACTGAATGCTTCTTTATCACTAAACAATACACGCAGCCACCACAAGAACTTAACAGAAAAACCTGACCATTTTATCACTTGTTGTTCATGGCAAGGTAAATCGATATGTGAAAAATGTACGGACAGCATAGAAGTAGCATTTCTATACTAATACCACCCGCCCCAGTTGCAAGAGTTTTTATTTCATTAAGATTTATAAACAATGGCTCCAGATACAGGTTCAAATGAAAATAACCGATCAAAATCCTTACGAAAATTGCTATTGGAAAATTGAAATTTTCCAGTATCACGATCAACATTGTTTGATGACGGAATCAGAAAATGCTTATTTATCTCATTCGGATCATCAATCTCTGAAGGTACATGTATATTTGGCGTTTTAGACTTGCCAGCAATATCTAGGTTTTGCAATTTCTTATAGATAGCCTTTGCATTCCATCGGCAGCTGTTAAACGCACACTTAAAATATGATTTTTGTTCAGCCCTAACAGCATTAGTGGTGAGATTCCTCATTTGTTTATAATAATCCCAATGTGCCGGCAAACCGGTCCTTTTAAATGATCGAAACGGCTTGTCACGCAGAGACATTATTAATTTTACATTGACGGTTAACCATGGCGGCATAAAATGTTTAAATTTTATCTTAGTTACTGGAGCTAAAGTGTCAAAAATATTAAGAATAATACTATTGAAATTTATTTATTTTTCATTTAAATTATTTATGAAAAATGAGACATGAAAATTCGTCCAGGATACTCTCATCTATATTTTTTGGGTTTCTAACATATTTACTACACTGCATTGCAACACATTTCAAATTCAAAGTACAATACACTAACAAAAGATCAGATACATTAACAATAACTATTGTTCCTTTGTCAGATACAGTTAAATCATTAGACACTAGAATGACTTCAATAAGAGAAGCAGAAGTATTAGTGATACGAGTGGGCGCATTGACTAATTGAGATAAATTGAAAAGTTCAATACAGTTATGAAATGCCTCATCTTGATTGTTCTGAAAACCCAAACAATCAATATTGATGTCTCCACCAAAATGATAGTACCAGAATTTTTAAAGAGTTGAGGCATTGTTGCCCTCTCAATGACCACGTCTATTGTAAAACCTTTTAGCGGTTCAACGTGTTGTATAATAGAAACGAGTCGACTGAAGGTGTCGTTAAGTGTTAAGGCATTGTTGTCCTCTCAATGACCTTGTCGATTGTAAAACCTCTTAGCAGTTCGGTGTTGTATAATAGAAACGTTGACAGTATATTTTTTGTGGACTACCTGAAGTTTATCGGGGTAGTTCAAATGTCTTGTATGCGCCTGTGCTGTAACGTAATCTAGCTCTGTTAGTTATTATATAGATCAGAATTGGGTTAGGAAAATGCAACAGGTAAAGTTGTTTTGACAAATAATGTAGCAGCGCTCTTGCCCCACTTCAATCTTGTCATCCCTCCACCTTAATCCGATGTTCGACAAACTTTTATCATGTAAATACACTCTCTCCCTACAATAACTCATCGGTTCACCGAACGCTCTAACGCGCAAGAGCGCTCTCTCCCCACTATTGAGAAAAATGCATACTTTTAAAAGCAAACTACGATGTGTAGACTGAGGTGAAAAATAAAGTTGCTCTAGCACATCATGATGATAAAAGGTTTATTATTCTTAACACCACAAAAACTTTACTTTGGGGACACTCTGACATCGAGTTTTACCAGACTGACCGCTCGTTGAAAATGAAATATGCTATAGGTGCAATCAATGATGTTGCAGAAGGCGGTTTTCCTGAAAATGGTAATTTAGACCTATAAATATTAGATTTAGGTTACTTCAAGCTCGTACAGGTAAATAAAAACAACATGTAGTAAGAAAATTTCACACTTACAAAAACATTTAATAGGAATGAATAAGTCCATTTTGGATATACCCATCAAAAGCATTGTAACTGATACATGAGTGATGAATAACTAATACATACACCTTAGTGTGGGACGGAAATGCAGATTTCCTGGACTCAAATTCCAAAGATATGTCCACAGTTGAAAGTTGGAGATGATCAGGCTGATGGCTGCAATCAATAACGAATAGCAGATTCTCATAAATTCTTTAATATTCATCATAGGTTATAGTTGAAGTTATCCCTGGATTCCGAACTACATAAACTTTTTCGCCTCCCATCTGTAGGGAAATTTCTTGAAAAAAAAGGCCAAGGCATTGTTTGATAGGTAGCATGGTTTCGTAGCGTCGCTAGGCGTAACTGTTCCTTCAACAAAAATATAACTATCAGCTGTCTGCAATGTTTAAAATAAGATCTTGGAAGTTTATAGGGATGTGAAACTATATCTGAATTCTTGAAATATGGTGATCCATATGATTTGTATGTGCATTCTTGTAGGCTGGCTAAGGAATGATCTATGACGGGTTCCTCAAAAACATCCAATTTCTCATTTGATACGTGCAGAACCATATTGTTTGATTAGTTTCAGTCCTAGGGGAGAGCGGGGCTGAAGGTGCCGATTTTGGCAAATCCTCCTATAAATCGGTTAAAGGATAAAACACATAATACATCTAGTAATTGTGGTTTATCTAAGGCAATATTTAATCTAGTTTATGAATTTATATGTAGTTTTAGTACACCTTTAACAGTTTTTGACAGAAACAGACTTTTTTGAGAAGAGGTCGAGAGGCACTACCAACCCTGCTCTGGGGCAAGTTGTGCCGTAGCTGAGGTCGATTGTGCCGTTCCTGATATTTGGTAATTTATAAGTACATATATAAATAAATTAGAAACACAAAGACAAACATTTTATAACTTTATATGCATTAATAGGTATTTTATACAAATCAACAGTTATTGAACTTTGTTGCTTTATAATAATAAATGGAATTAAACAAAAATCAAACAAAATTTATTATTCTAGATATTTCAAACTTAAGGTAACTTAGAGAAGTAATAGAGTTAATAGTTAGAATTTATTTTTCAAGACAATATATCAAGTATACATATCCGCCTCAATAGATAGCGTAACGAAAAATAATCAAACTTTCTTCTAGATTCTAAAGTAACTAATCTTCGTAACTATTAACTAATTAATCAGTCTCTCCAGTTGAAGGTACTAGTGAAACTTAAACATATCAAAAATAAACTTATTCTACAGATGACTGGTCAGAATAGCAATTAGGACACACAAATGATAAGCTATCCTCATCGTCAAGACATTGCGAATGGGCCCAATTCTTACAATCTCTGCATTCAATCTAATTTTCTCCTGGAGCTGAGTTAGAGTAGGCACCACAAATTATGATACACCATTCTAATCCACTACTCTCTCCACTGGAACTCTCATCACTTTCCTGAAGGACCTTTCTGTTGGCGGGATTCTTGATCCGCTTTTTCATTTGTTTTCGATCTTTTGCTTTTCCCTTTTCTTTAATATTCTTCGTTGGCTTACTTTCCTTCTTCCTTTTCTTGTTAGCCTGTTCTTCTGCCAAAGCATTTTTCTCAGGAGTATCCATAAGAACAGCTGACTTTCTTTTACGCCATTTATTAACTCCTGTTAATCGGGGAGGTGCTTTGGGCAATGGTCTTATTGATTCTGGTGAGAAATACATACCGTCATTATCTCCTCTCCTCCTCCCAAGCTCTGAAAGATTCTGGCGTGACTCATCCTTTTCACAGCTTACATTAACTATTTCCTTATCAGCTGATGATACACAGTCATTTACACAGTAAGGATGCTGAATACCTGAAAGTCCTGATTCACTTGTACAGTCATTTGGCTGAGGATCCTGCTGAATTGTTGATGGACCAGTCTCAACAGTGCTTTCCATACAGATTGTCTCCTCAAGATCTTCAAGGACGCTTTCTCCAGTGTTTAAGAGGCCAGGCAAATTGTCTTTTTCTTGGAGGGGTTGGTTTTCCGACATTGGGCGATCGGTGACGAAATGGGGTGCAAAATCATCGTCTCTAAAAACATTAGAATCAAAGGGCCAAACACCAGCCTTTTTTAAAGCGTTACATATATTGGTAGGTGTTGCTGGCAGAGGAAAAGCGTATTTGACTATTCCTGGTATTTCATAATGGTCATAGTCTTTCCGGGATTGGGATTCGTTCTTAGCCAGTTGCTTTGGGCTTTAGAGCAGTACGTTTTGAAAGGGCCGTTAATACCCACATCTAGTGGTTGCAATGTGGGGGAACGATAATAATATGACTGAGTTGCTATTAGCTTTTTCAATCACATCAATATCAGTGTGAGATGAATGATTATCCAGGAGTAACAACACTGGCTCTGTAGGAATAGGTTTAGTGTATTTTATAAAATGATTCATAAACACTAGAAACTCTGTGCTTGTCATCCATCCGGAGCGGTTGCAGGCCCCTATGTATTCAGGAGGGCCATCCCGGATAAACAGGTTTTTGAATTTCAGACATGGAAACAGGTACATCGGTGGAATTGTGTTTCCCAAGGCACTTACCGCAAGCTCAACTGTAACTAAAGTTCCACGCTCTGCTGAAACAATTGCACCTACTTGCTTTATTCCTTTTTCTGTCACAATTTTCTTTGGTTTTAGCACAGTTTAGACGCCAGTCTCATCCAGGTTCCAAATACGAGAAGGAGTAAGATTATACTTGGTGATCAGGTCTCCAAGTTTTTCAAAGAATTGCTCCACGTTATGTCGGTTGAATGTGGACGCGCGTCCCACACTGGTAGTTTCCATGTGTGGCTCCTTTTCAAAAAAATTGTCAACCAATCCTTACCAGCTTCGCTATTTTTGTGCCAAGATGGTGGAATGTTTGAATGTATGAAAGTTGTCGAACTTCCTTCGGGATAAGACCAAAGTAAATAGAGGCACTTTTCCGAATGTATGACGACAATAACATCTCTTGTTCTTCATTAAATACTATACTCTTGATCTGTATCCAACCGTCGCAGTACGTCCACTCCTTATTTTTTTTACATAGCGTTGTAGAGTTGTCTGACAAATTTCTAACTCACGCGCGACAGTTTTTAGTTTGCGCCCTTCCGCAATGACCGCTCCAGCATCAGCCCTCTGCATAAGATCTTGAGATGTAGTTCCCCTTTGTGTTTGTCGCTTGTATGTCCTCATCCTGTCAAATAAGTTATGAAGTATTTAGTATTCTCAAGTAAACAGAAGACAATATTAGAATACTGAACGTCACGTGGGGTTCGTTGTGCCGCGGTACAACTGGCCCCAAATAAAAAGCACAATTTACCCCGTTTGTAAGGGTATGACCTTTTTTACATATGGAAAAACCACTCTGTACAAAGCATTCAAATTGCATTGTGTAACATTTGTAGATGACTTACAAACATTTTCGTAAAATTTACAAATCAAAAAAACGAATTATATAGGCTTGAGACCAAAAGGTATAACCGTTAAAATATTTACTTACGTGGCGTTGGAGGGCACTCATACACATAGCTACCTGCTCCGCGTCTCGAGAGCAACTGAAATGGCTGCCACGTGAGCCGGACGATTAAGCATTTTGCGGCGTAATGTGAGCGTATAGCTATCTCTGTCTGTTTATGAGATATTCGCGTTGCCACTACTTACCCCCTGCACTTTCAGCTCCGCTCTCCCTATAGACGCCAGGAACTTACGATTTTGCAGTGAAATATTCGATGCTGGGTGTTTGACGATGGTTAAACGACGAATAACGGAATTTCCATTGGTTCTTCGTCCTTATGATTAGTTGTGCGACCTTTTTCTACATTCTTCAAATGATGTATATCTATGTTGTATTGAAATCTCATCTTCTTCAACTTGCTCTAGACAGGCGTCGCAGTTCTAATTTGACGTTAATTTTTTTACCACGTAAATTGACCAAATTCCCGTCGTCATACAAAATTTCCAGTGTGATGTTATCAAATATTCTAAGCAAAAAAGTTCATTATAACTTATGTCCAAAAATCAATCGTTTTCGAGGAAAGTGAGTCGTAAATAATTGAATTTTCTCAAACATTTGGCAACGCTGCACGACGACCGCAACACTGGTTCATCGAATTGTTTACGTTTGTATGATATTTTTGTTGAAAATATGCCTTGAATTATTGAATACTTTTACGCAATTTTTGTGGCTAATATTTTTTATTTAATAACGCTGTCAGTACAGTACATTTACTTAAAAACAAAATGACAGAACTTACCAGTACGTGGCGATACACACCACCAATTCCCACGATTATCACTCACTTATTTGAAACGATGCGATGCACGAAAAAATAAAAAACCAACATCCGTAAATCACATAAAGTTACAGTTAAATGTATTAGTAATCACAATAGATGTTCAAAATGGGAACCATAGGCATCTACGCAAGCTTGACACCGTCGAACCCAATTTAATCTAACTAGTTGAAAAATTCCAGCCATATTACGTATTTCATTAGCGGAGGCCAAAATACGCTCCCTTAAATCATTCTCATCCCTTATTTCAGAGGCGTAAACTAAATTTTTTCATTAATCCCTAGAAGAAAAAACCTAATGGATTAAGATCGGGGGATCTATCCGGCCAAGCATTTGGAGCATTTCAAGTACCACATATTCATTCTTGTTTGCAATGGCGCTCTCACCGTTCAAGCGATGTGGCAAAAAAATGGTCATATTAATTGGTCACCAATTATTCCAGCCCACACATTAACAGAAAATTGATACTGCGAATTTTTCTGTGCAATTGCATGGCGATTTTCGTCCGCCCAATTATGAAAATTGTGAAAATTCCAAATTCCATTTCTTGTAAAACAAGACTCATCTGTTGACAACACATTCGCTACAAAATTGTGATTTCTTTGGTGTTTACCAAAACACCAATTACAAAAATTTGATCTTCGTGGAAAATCTTCAGGCGAAAGAGCTTGAACCCTCTGGACATGATATGCGTACAATAACTGTTATTTAAGGGTCCGATGTACAATCCAGTGTGAGACACCGACTTGACGAGCAACACTTTCCGTACTCCGTGTCGAATACTCGTCAATTAAATTCAAAATTTGTTCTTCGGTTTCCACTCCAACTCCCTGTGTCTCGAAGTCTTTGGGATACTTCTACGAATGTTCGAATGTTCTTCTAGCTGGTAGCCTTCGATCAGGAAAACGTTCTTCATAAATGCACCTAGCCTCTTCAAAATTGCAATGAGCCTCTCCGTAAATAATAAGCATATCATGATACTCGCGTACCGAAAACATCTCTTTCGTATCAAAATGCACGCACTGATACAGTGATACATACTGAATAATAAAATTTGATTTCAATTCGGGTGAACATTACATACATACGTTAATCCAAGTAACTATCAAATATTTTTTTCCCGATGTAGGTATTTATTTTTTTGCCTACCGACACGATGTCGGTCGTGGGCAATACGCGATGATACTGGTACATGCAGGGCAGGTGGAGTACGACATTGCCAGTTGTGTGAGGGCTTTTGTTTGTCTGTTTTTCATCGGAAAATTGTATTTAATAAGCAAGAAAATTATTTTGTTAGAGACAGTTAATTAATAAATAGTTGTATTGATACATTTTACGCTATTACGCATATCAATTTAAATTATTAAGGTGCAAAATTAATTTATTACATGACTAAAATGAAATAAGTTCAGCATTTTTTTGCTCTGAAACGGTTGATTGTGGGACATAGGTTATAATGAACTTTTTGCTTAGAATAATGCAAGGAATCACCTCTTCAAATCATAGATACTGAAAAATACGTCGTAGGCGAGAAGTTTGCCGTCTTTGATCGTGCATTCTTTCGCTTTCCAATGCTTCCATAAGTAAAAATGCACGAGCCATCCAGAGAATCAAAATTGCTGAAAATACAAATTGGGAGCATACAATCACTTCTTTATAGTTACGAATATTATTTCCCTAACACCCTGTATATTACATTCCGAGGCTCCTTTGTTAATTTAAATCCTGGTTCAACGTCTATATCAAACACACACTAAGTGTGCATTTCATTGCCATTGCAATAAGCTCCTGATATTAATCCGCAGTCGACTCTTATCATCCTGATGGGGGTTATGTTTACAAGTAAATTCGATGTGTAGGTTTTGTTTCTGGGAAAAATTTTGTTCTTAAATCCAAGCAAAGTTTTGCCATGGAATTGGACAGAGAAATATCGATTACAGAATGGAGTTCACACTTCAAAGTATTAGTGTTGGCTTTGAAAGAGAACATTTCATTAACTTTGTATTCATATCTCTCTTTATATGTAACATTCATTGATATTATTTCATCATTTATTGATATCTTCGATTTCATAAACACATTCAGGAATGGTTACCACATTACTCTCGTCACCCTCGTGAGTAAGAGATATTTGATTATGTTGATCACCAATGTTGTATATGGTGTTGTATGAATAAAAGCCAATCAACCCCAGACCATATTACGCAATTATATCCAACTCGATTGGTGGATAAAAATTAGCAGACAGTTTGTTGGTGTAAGCCGTTAGAGTAAATGTGTTAGGCATGACTGAAGTGTTAATGAATGAAAACATGGTAAACAAATATTTATTGTTTACAACATTTGTTTGATTCAAATGTATTTTTAACATTGATATCTTGCATGTTACAATAACAACAACATATTTTTCTTGGTGGCGGTCCATCTGCTTCATCATCGCTCCTGCTTATTCCATGATGTTTCCAGCAGAATTGGAATCGCTGTATATCAGCATCCTCCTTCAAATGCTCTGGTGATTTTTTCCATACATGCGCTATGTTGTTTGGCGTGCAGCATATGAGTACCTCTTTTGGTATGTGTGCAAGTTCATCTTGCGTCATATTTAACAGGCTTCTCTCCCTTGAAAAGACTTTAAGAGAGTCACTAATATTTTTCAATCCTTCGTGATCTATTGTCTTCAGAGCTCTGATGTTCTTCAGATAAAAATCGCAGACACAAATGACCACACCAAAACGTATTGAACTGTTGTTGTCGATTATTATTGTACAGGATTTTTATCTTTTTCGACTTGTTGGTCAAATATTCGATTAGCTCCTTGTGTGTGGGTAGATTGCCAAAACTGTCATAGTACCATACTACCATCCCACGTTTTATATATGAAACCCAATTTGACCCATCCCCGCTCTTGCTATCTAAATTAATTATAACTGATGAATTCTTCAGCAGGCCCTGCTCGGAGATTTCATCGCACATAAATACTCCTTTGAAATATGGTATTTTTAGCTTCCTAGCATAATAGATTAGATCTATAGTTGTTAGCGGTCGTGGGGCAAGGGCTTTCAATAGTTTTTTACTACCTCAACCCGATGAATAACCCCAATCCTTTACGGCATGGTTTCAGAAAGAGACCATCCCCAATTCGATTCACATTGGAAGAAGGTGCAGAACTGGTTTTATTTTGAATTTGCTCACGCACTGAACTAGCTGTTTTAGCAGCTCTTGTTATATTGGCAATACCTCCAGCCAGACTACCTGATGCTGAAAGACCAGCAAAAATTGATGTCAAAGGAAGGATGCCTCCAACCTTGGGAATAGGTATAACTCGTGGTAGCTGAATCAGCCGTTTTCCACCGATGGATCTGATATGCTTCCGCAAGTAATGCAGTGGAAGTCGCTTTTGCTAATACTCTCTTGTCTGGTTTACAGTTTGAGAACCTTTTCATGTGTTTGCATTCTTTATTCACTATCCCCGATCCAAAATGTACCTTTTTCCGTGATCTACTTGATTTTATAGACATAGCTTTTCTTCCTTTCCGTCCACGACGTAATGCATGTCCTCCCATACCTATACGACGTTTGACTTTCATAATACTCGATTTTCTGCGGATGCATTTTCTTCTACTCCGTCCACGACATGATACTAGACCAGGGTTTTCCAACCTCTTTTTTTTATTGAGGCTCCCCGGACTATAAATTATATTTTCATGCCCCCCTTTACATTTTCAATAAATACAAAAAACGCACATTATATAGGTACAAAGACTTTTATTTTAATTCTAATAAAGAAACTTTAAAAGTTTAAATAAACTAATGTTTTTTTATTGAAAAACTTGAATAAAATAAGAGTAGGTACTAATGAGACACTTGAGATTGCATGTTCTGTACAAGTTGGTTGATTCTAGGTTCTATTTTTGCCAGAGCTATCATCAGGTCGTTATCGACATCAAAATGATTTCGCTGTTTAGTTTCAATTAAAACTAGAGCAGAAAAGCTTGTCTCACATAAGTAAGTTGAAGAAAAAGGAACTAGTATTCGCAAAGCAAGAGAGGCAAGTGTCGAATTTACAGGTAATCTTTTGATCCAAAATTTCTCCAATGTTAAAAGATGGAAGTCATGGACATCAGCCTTCATTTCTTCCTGAACTTCTTCTGCTAATTTTGACAAAGGGTTTCTTGTCATGTGCCATATTGGTGACTCTGAATTGATGTCTCGATAGTATCGGCGAAATTCGTCTTCCAGCGCTTGCA